AACAACAGCAGTGCATTGGGAAACAACCTCCCAGAGACCTACCAGAGCCTCGTTGGCCATCGTTGCCTCTTCCTTTAACTGCATCAATCTTCTCTCCAGCTCATCTCTTGTCCTCTCAGCCTCTTCTCTCATTTGCTTCTCCCGGGCCAGGCGTTGCCGTTCCATCTAGGAAAGAGGGGGTGGGGGAAGTTAGGAGAAATAACACACATTAGAAAGGCATTCCAGAGGGTGAGGGAGGTTCACTGTCTGGAGGTGGGAGCAGAGGGCTGCACTGCTGCCTTCTCTCTGCTTATCCCAACAGGGAGCTTCACTAGCCAGGGGTGACCTGATGCACTCTGCTCCCTTGCAGAGTGCCATTCCCTACTCCCTTGCAGAGTGCCATTCCCTGTTCACTTGCAGAGTGCAGTTCCCAAGACACTCCTCTGCTCTGCTGTTACCCACAGCCTGCCCCACCAGTTGCCTGCAGGTGACCATGTCCCCAAACAGCACCCCCCCACGCTGACCCACAGGGCACGCTCAGACAAGTGGGGCCCCAAGAGCTCCAGCTACACCTCGAGTTTCTTAGAGCAAGACTGGGCTGCAGGGCAATCTGGGGGTATCTTCAAAACATCAAATACAGACACATTGCAAGGCAGGAGTTTGAAGGACATGGACAGCTGCTACTTTTGATCAGACACCTAACTCTGGGAACCTCACTTACACTCATTTATACAAGTCACAAAGAGTGTGGCCACCCCTATCACTTCCTAGACAAGACAAATTCCCTCCCTCCAGCTCAGTCTGCAGGATACTCCTCCAGAGGGGAGGAGACCTCAGCCACACTGAGAGAACCCACCAGAATCCTGCCACCTCTTCCCAGAAGAGGCTGAGAGTGTTGTGCAGACAGAGTGTGCCCAACAACTGTGTCTCTGCCAGCCAAGTGCCCAAAAGGAGCCATCGGGCTAATTAACACGCCGAGTTTAAGCACTTCAGTACAACAGAGATGGGTGCCTCATAAATTTCTGTGCTCCAGCAAGGGCTGGCAGCAGGGCACAGGCCTCCTGCTGGCTTTAATAAGGGAAATAAGTGTGACAAGACACATTTCCCCACTCCTTGGCCACCAACTGTGCTCCCGAAGTGGGACGCCCACTGGTCTAACGGCTCTGCTGCCTTCGATTAAAGGTTCCCCTCATTAATTATCATGATGATCTGCATCCCACTTAGGGCTTCTATTAACAAGAGTTCCCTGGAACCAGGGAACAACCGTGGATCCTGGGGAGAGAGGGGAGAGCAGATGAGACAGCATGGTAGCTAGTTGGGGAGAGGGCAGCCAAGGCCAGCAGAAGTCTGACCTTTCCCGTGGGGCACAAGGGCTCTGGATTTGGGAGCCAGAAGCTCCTGCTCACCCCTCCCAGCAGCCCAGCTAAGCAACAAGATCTCAGGGACTTGCTGGTGTTACTCAAATGCATCCAAAACTCAGCAAAACTTGTCCCTGAAGCCACCAGCACTTGGACATTTTGCTCCACTAGTGTCAACTCCTAACTGACCAGAGCAAGAGGCTCCCCCTTCCCCAGAGGAGCTGGCCTGGTTGCCCTCATAGTGACTTGTCCTCTCCTGCCACCCCACAAGCTACAGGGAGCAGAACTGCTCCAGGAGGTGCCTGCAAGACAAGCCACCTCACCTCTCCAGGTCAGCTGAGCACCTCAGCACCAAGCCCAGCACCCCTGGGGCAGCTCTGTGGACACACTCCCACCAACTCGGCAGCCCCTTGAGCAATAAGCCCCTCCTGGGTGCAAGGGCTGCTTTGGCTTCTGCTGCTGCTCCCTAGTGGTGCGACTGCAAAAGGGACATTGATATTCCAAGCACCAGCGTTCAGCACAGCCGCGTGGGTTTCAAGTGAGTAGAAAAAGGTCTTACAAGCAGACAACAATGATTCATACAAGCCCATTTGCTGAGAGCTGCTCACAGGCTCCACGCTGCTGCCTCCAAAGAGCCTCCGGGGCTGCCTGGGCTGACCCGCAGCAGGCAGGGGAGCCCAGCACCCCATTAGCAGGCAGGCCCTGGGCTCCCCCTGCATTCCATCACCGGGTCATTAGGAAATGAGGAGCACGGCAAAGCACAGCTCCCCCTCCCAGCCCCTGCTTTGATACAAGCAACTAGCCCAGGGTGACATCCTTCTGGCAGGGAGGCAGGGAAGATGCAGGCAGGGTTGTAGGACACAGGGAGCAGCTCTTCCCTCCCGTCCTCCTGGTTTTCATCCCCAGGGTGGGGGCTGGATTAGGGCTGCCAGGCTGCTATCAGCCTGCAGAGCCAAGCTGGGAATGACTGGCCAGGTGGGAGGAGGCTACTAAAGAGAGACGTTCTGCTGGACCTTCCCTCAAAGCTGCTCCATGTGCTTGATGACAATCTGGAGACTGTTCCTCCCCCACATCATTTGCATTTCTGATTTTGGCTCATGGACATGTCTCTCACCTGCTTCCTGGCTTTCTCCTCCCTGGCCTGTGCCTTCATCTGCTGGACCTCCAAGGAGTCTGCCTTTCTCCTCCTCATGAAGAGGTCGTGGTTTCCAATACACAGCTGAAGAATCTATTCCAGTCAAGGGTGAAGAGTGGAGACAAACAGCTGTACACGTGGTGACCGTGAGGTAGTTTGTATTCCTGCCACACAAACCCACTAGTACTGCTTTGGTTTGGTGCTTGTCAGCACTTCCACCTGCTTATCTCAAACCTTAGGAGCTCTTGTACCTACATGAGGGGCAGGGAGCTGAGGCACAGCCCAAGACTTGGCCCAAACACCAGCTCCTGGGCTGTCAGCTCTTTGCAGAGCCCAATGATCTGCCTTCTGTGCAGGCAGGGGCAAGTTCTACCAGCTCCAAAAGGCATTAGGCCAAATAACAAAGACTTCTACAGCTCAGTCTGCTTCCCTGATTCTCACTGTCCCCCTTTCTTTGGGTTCAAGATGAACCTGCCCCTTCTCCCAACTGCATGTTTAAAGCATTGAGACTAAAAACAAGAAGAAGGGAAACCACTTTCCATCTAGGACAAGGCTACACACAAACAGAAGGCTTATAAAAATGTTTCTAGGACACCTTCTGATACCTTTGCTGAAGGGTTCTGAGCACCAGTGTGGCTTCCTCTGGTACTCCAGGAAGAAGACAAGGAAGGTGGCAATACTAGAGGAGGGCTGGCAAAGGGCTGAGCACACAGCAGAGGGAAAGCTCTATTCAGCAATAAAAGCAGGCTTCTGAGCTTGAATTTTTCTCTATGAACCTGATGAGAGCCATGAATGAGGCCTTTGTTAGGAAGCCCCACACCCCTATGGCACGTGGGACTGAACAGTCTATAATCAGGACAGCAAAGCTCCCCTCCCTCTCTTATTAAGGATGGGAATGATATCCCCCTCTGCTTTCTGTGGGTCCCTTGTTCAGCTTAACATGGTGCAGAGCTACTGCATCATTGTGGCCCATCCCTGGCAGTGTTGAAAGGCAGGTTGGATAGGGCTTGGAGCAACCTGGGCTGGTGGGAGGTGTCCCTGCCCATGCAGGGGGTTGGATCTAGATGATCTTGAAAGTCCCTTCCCACCCAAACCAGTCTGGGATTCTATGATTCTGTGAATGTAGCCTTGTATGTGAATCATCCTTGTACAAGGAGAGTGTCCCTGGAGGGGATCAGCCTGGGAAAAAGCCAGGACTGCAGCTCTAATAATGATGCATCCTGAAACAGGGAGCAGGATGGAGAAGATGGGCAGCAGAAAAAAGGAGATCTGGAGCAAAGATGGGGGTGACAAGAAACTTTTACTTACTAAGTGCTTCCACCATGCAGGTCAGATGTAACCCAGGAGCTCAGAAAGGGAGCACAGAAACAGGAGAGGGGGAAGAAGTTCTGTGAAGGAGCTTGACTTGAGCTTCCCCCGTCTCTTCTAGAGGCTGTAACTGAGCAGTATCTGCTGGACCACAGCACAGCTCCAGCCCAGCCAGGCCAGCACAGCTCCCTCCCTCCTCTGTGGTCTCCTACTTCTGGTAGAAACTACTGCTGCAGGCAATAAAAATGACTCTGTCAGTAGACTTACCAGCTTATTCACACGCAGCTTTGATGAATTGAATTTAAAAACATCAATCTTTTTGTCCAATGGCTTAATCGTAAACTGAAAAGGAAAGAATAAAAGAGGGGGAGAGTTATCAGAGAGCAGTGCATTTAATAACAAGGCAGCTATAAAAGTCTCACTGAAAAGCTTTGGCTCAGAGGAGGTCAGCCATGGCAGACAAACAAGGCTGAGAGCTGTCCCCATGGCTTGGTGCCAAGCAGGAGAACTAGTGGCAAAAGCAACCAAGGAGACAACTGTCCCTCTGGTCAGACAGAGCCACAGAGCAATGAGGGTTGTCCACCTGCAGCCTGCCCTGCCCCACAGCCAGTGTCCTCTGCACTGCTCCTTGCAGAGGGCACAGACAGCTCAGCACCTCCCAAGGCAAGGGCCTCCTCTCCTGGCACCTGCAGAGAATGGAGAAGGTAGAGCAGAAACTCCTGGCACTCCTGAGGGGAGGAAGAACCAGCTCAGCTGCCTGATGGACAGGCAGAAGGGTTCCCCTAGGAACGCACATACAGGAGCTGCTGTCCTTCCTGTTGCCACCTCCACCTGCACAGGCTCCCCAAAGGGATTTTCCATGCCTTTTGTTCTCCAGAAGTCTGCTGTGTCACTGAAGTGCTCTGCAACCCAAAGCACTGTGCCCTTGCTCTAACTTTTATTTACAGTCTCTGTGCCAACCAAGCAGCTCTCACCACGGCCTGGGCTCACCCTCTCCAAAGAGGTTTCCCCCAGCAGGTCTCAAGAGGACAGAGGTGGCATCACCAGATTCCAGAACTTCACCAACACAACCCCAGGATACACAGAAGACTCTGAACCAACCAGAGGGTACTTGAAGAGATGGAGTGCTCCAAAACACCACATTTTTTTGAAGGCAGGTACATATTCCATCACTCCCCTACAGGCTACAAAAATAACAGGCTGAAGAGAAAGCAGTGGAGCAGGCAGGCTGTGCCCATTAAAGCAGGGTTATCTGTCACTACTGGCCAGGCAGGCTCAGCCCAACTCACCCTGGAAGTGCTTTGTTTTGTCAGTTTAAAAGCTCATCTTTTAAGGCTCTAAACCAGGCAGACATGTGAGGATGTTCCCAGACTCAGGCTCTAGCAGAAATCCACTTGGAGAGGAATTTCAGTGCCACAAACACAGGATTTCAGTGCCACAACCAGTCAGGCTTTGTTCTGACAGATTAAAGCCCCCTGGTGTGGCCAGAGATGTCACACCCAGCTATTAAGCCTGTTTACTGTCACGTCAGGTCTACTTGTGGTCAACTGATTGCACAGATGATTGACCAGATGGAAGGTGTCAGTCCTTTCCCCCAGGAGGAAGCTCCATTCCAGCCCTGTGTCAGGGCCTGGCTACAGAGGCTCCCATCCCCAGATCCCACAGCTTCTATCACCCTCCTCTGCCATGGATAGGAAAGCTTCCCAAGTTCCTCTGTCTTGCAGAGTTGTCAAGCTCTTTATTTTTAAGGAGTAAAACAAGTGAAGATGATGCCAACATGGCCTTACTTACAAAACTTCCCCAGACATGTAATAAACACAGCTGATGAGAAAACCTTTAACTTTTACCCTGATCAATATCATGCTTAGATTAGGAAACAATTTTTAATTAAGAAGTTAATTTTCTTCCTCACCACAAAGGCAGCTGGTTCCTTTGAGCAGCTCCCTCAGCTTGAAAACTGAGCTGATCATTTTCCCCTCCACAGCCCATTTCATTGCTCTTCTCAACCAGGCCTGGTGCCCAATGATTCAGAAGATTCATATTGAAGCTCTGGATTTAATAAACATCTATCCAAGAGTGGGCTTAAATTACTCAACTTCCTAAAAAGATTCCAGCTGTTATGCCAGCCTGAAAACTCAAGGTGATGTAATGATATGGCAAGAGCTCTTCCCACCAGGAATACATCCCCCCAGTAAATATACACAGTGACATACACAGTAGAGATCTCAACTTGTGAACTCTGATGTTTGGGCTAAGAACATTAACAGCAATTTTGTTTGAAAAAAAAAATTACAGAGAGGGTTTGAATGTGCTCTGAAACCAAACAGAACAGCTCCCAGCTGACCTCTTGTACGCCCACTCCTGGAAGGTTTCAGAAGGGCTTGGAATTAAGTTTTCAGTTGGAGAAGCTGAGCTGCCCTTAGCTAAGCTGGTGAGAGCAAGCACAGCAGACAGAGAAGCTCAAATAAATAATTTGAAGTTGCAATTGTGTTGTTACTGCTCTGGAGGAGAGGGGAGATGTGTCCATACCTCTTTATCACTGTAGGAGATATTCCGGATCTCGTTCCACGGGAAGGAGATTTTAGGGGTCAACCTGTTGTCTGGGTCATAAATGTGAAGACCCAAGGCATCAACTCCAAGGAGCAGTTCTGTGCCCTTTTTATTCTACAGGGGGAAAGAAAAGAGAAAAAAAAAAAAAAAAAAAAAAAAAAAAAAAAAAAAAAAAGGCTTTTATTGCCCTGGGAGGGGCTGACATGGACTGTTGTTTCCTTCCCCAACCAGCCCTGAGCAGGGACCCACCAGCACAGAGCACCAAGAGAGCTGCAGCTGGCAGCAAAGCCCCCCGCAGCAGGGACTCTCACCATGGCCACCTCAGGGTCTGCTGGCTCTCCAAGCCTCCACCCACCCAACCTCACAGCAACACAAAAGCTGAAGACTAACACAAGAGCTAAGCCAGCAAGAAAACATGAGCCACAACCCGTGCTCACCCTAATGGTAAAGTAGTTGACTCCGTACATCTCCAAGTCCTGAGCTATCTTCAGATATTCCATTTCAGCTTCATCTCTGTCAGACACAGAAAGGCTGCTGTTACCATCTTGGGTAGGATCAGAGAGAGGGGTCTGGCTGCTCCTTCTGATCCTAAGCATACACAGGGCTTAACTTAAGCCTGGACTGTCTCCATCTCACAGGTCAAAGCCTGTCTTTGCTGGCAGGATCAATCAAGCCCAGGAGCAAATCCCACCCAGCAACCTGCTGGAATCTTCATGGCTGGTGCCACCTGCCCAGCCAGACACAGCACCTTGAGTCTTGCTTTGTCCCACTCCCAGTCCCTTAAGCACCCACAGGAAATCCCTGGCTGGGTGGCTTCTCTTTTCAAATCCAGCTGACTTAAGGCTTATCCCCTACATGGAGCATTTTACCACCCCAGGCAGCAAGACACCTCCTCCACCTGGATCCCCACTTCTCCTGGCCCAAAAGGCACTGGAGCCCCTGGGTGGGCAGGCTGCCTCCTTCTGCCCCTTGGCAGGTGCTCCCCTGCTAAGCACAGCTCTAAATTCCCTTGGGGACCCCCTCAGGGGACAGCAGAGCACATGGAGAACAAAGCCCTTTGCTGAGGCTCCTGCAGAGTTGTGCAGGACTCACCCTGCAGAGCTCATCCCTCACCTGCCCAAGCTCCCACAGCCCCTCAGATGAGGGGACAGACCCTGAGCCACCACCCAGCAGACACTCACCTGGCTCTGCCTCGATGCTCTGCATACCAGGCTGTGATCCTTTCCTCCCACATCTCTGGAGTCATCTGGTACAGGTTTATCACCTGAGAGAGGTGGGGAGACACAGACCAGGTCACACTGCTGCTCTTCCCACAGCCTCCTTAGCCAGCAAGGAAGCCTGAGACACCCTAGCCCCAAGCAACCCCTCCCCAGCCCTATGTCCCACCTTAGGACAGGTGGGAAGAACTTGGAGCACCTTCCAGTGCCTGAAGGGGCTCCAGGAAAGCTGGGGAGAGACTTGGGACAAGGGCAGGGAGGGATGGGATGAGGGGGAATGGATTATAACTGGAAGAGGGGACACTGAGATGAGATCTTAGGTAGAACTTCTTTGCTGTGAGGGTGGTGAGACCCTGGCCCAGGTTGCCCAGGGAAGCTGTAGCTGCCCCATCCCTGGCAGTGTTGAAGGGCAGGTTGGATGGGGCTTGGAGCTACCTGGGCTGGTGGGAGGTGTCCCTGCCCATGCAGGGGGTTGGGACTGGATGGTCTTTAAGGTCCCCTCACACTCAAACCAGTCTGGGATTCTATGACCCTCAGCATGGCAGGCTCAGCACTCACTCAACCCTCCTGAGCAGGCAGCAGAGATGAGTTGCCCCCAGGCCACCTTGAGGAGACACATGCAGGATGAAACTATGCCAAGAAAGGAAACATTTCCTTCTGAGACCAAATTCTCCTCCCTCAATACACCTTTTTGCACTGCCTGCATGGGTAAGGAACCCCTAGGAATGCAAAGCAGGGTGCACCCCACAGGCAGTCCCACCAAAACCCTCCCTGTTAGAGAAACCACCACCAGGCCTGGAAAGCTCCTCCTTGGTTGGGCTGAGCTCCTCACCCGCTTGGGAAGCAGCTCCTCTTGTGCCAAGAAGCCTCGTTTGTGGACATTGGGGTCATAATCACCATACTGGAAAGAAGCAGAGACATAGGGTGTGTGCCCCACATGAAGACAAGCAGGGAAAACTTCACCTTGACACATCCACCCCTCAGGGAGACAGCAAACATGGAGTGCTTGTTCCCTTCACACCACAACCTGTTAGAGTGGGGAACAGAAGCTGCTGGGACAGTCTGTGACTATTTTGTTTGTCATGAGGTTGCTCATAGGAACTAAGACCCTTCTTCTACACACACAGCAGAGATGGAAGCAGAACAAAACTTGCCACCATCAGCCAACGTCCATCAGTTGGATTAGATGATCATTGTATCACAGAATCAAAGAACTATTTTGGTTGGAAAAGACCTCCTAGATCAAGTCCAACTGTCAACCCAAGGCTACCATGCCAACAAAACCATGTTCTGAAGTGCTACATCCACCTGGTTTTTAGACACCTCCAGGGATGGTGACTCCACTACTGCCCTGGGCAGCCTGTTTCAGTGTCTGACCACTCTTTCAGTAAAGAAATTCTTCCTAATATCCAATCTGGAGCAACTTGAGGCCATTCCCTCTTGTCCTGTCACTTCTTCCTTGAGAGAAGAGACCTGAGAGAAGACCCCTGGCTCCAACCTCCTCTCAGGCAGCTGCAGAGCCAGAAGGTCTCCCCTCAGCCTCCTTTGCTCCAGGCTGAACACCCCAGTTCCTTCAAATGCTTCTCATCAGACTTGTGCTCCAGCCCCTTCCCCAGCTCCATTGGCCTTCTCTGGGCACTCTCCTCAACATTCTTCCTGTCCTGAGGGGCCCAGAACTAACCCCAGGATTCAAGGTCCTCTCCACCTGAACAATTCTGTTCTACTCTAATTACCACACCCAGAAAACACATCCTATGATGTGGGGAAAGACTCACTCTATAGCCAAGAGGTCCCTGCTACCCCACTGGGGACAGGGAGTCAAGATATGGATGGACAGACCCATCCCCAAAGACTGATACCAGTAATTCAGATGAGGCAGAGGGTGGTTTCTCTGTCCCTCTTCACCATCCTAATGAACAAATATCAAAAACAAACACAGGACTGTGACAGACTCATGGACTCCCAGAATGCCAGGTTGGAGGGGACCTCAAGGATCATCTGATCCAACCTTTCTAGGTACTACTCTAGTTTATATGAGGTGGCTCAGTATCCTGTCAAGCTGAGACTTAAAACTGTTCAACCAGGGGGAATCCACCACTTGCCTCGGGAGACTATTCCAATGTTGGACTGTCCTCATGGGGAAAAATGTCCCTCTTGTGTCTAATTGGAATCTCCTCAGGAGCAACTTGTGCCCATCGCTCCTTGTCTTTTCCATGGGACTCCTCCCAGGCAGGTGTTAGCTTTTCTGCCAGAGGGTCTGCTGCTCAACTAGGTCGTGGAATCCAATTCAGATTTGTTAAGTGCATCCAGTAATTACTGGTATTGGTTGAGATTTTTCCATCCTTTTGAGCAGTGCAGCAAGTGACTGAGAAATCAAACTGCTGATGAGCAGATGGAAAAGCCGAGTGTCCCTGCAGTGCCGGTGAAAATGAATTTACCTCCCGTACAGCTGAAGAGGGCACAAGAAACCACCAGCAACCAGCACCTCAAACGACCCAGCAAATTCCAGAGAAGAGGATGAGGGATGTGAGGCATGTACAGGGAAAGCTGTGATCCTCCCCCACCTGCAGACAAGGCTCCTGAGGTGCTGTCACGCCAGACGCCGCAACGTCGGCTCCAGTCGCTCAGTTGCAGGGAGACAGGGCCCCCCCCCCATCTCTTCTGAAGAACCTCAGCTCAGGAATGACAAAAATTTTTAAAACCAAGACCAAGACACACATGGTGGTCACATCCTAAGTCAGGAAGCTTTCTGGATCAGCCCCCTCTCAGTGCCAGAACCATCACTCGTACACTAAGACCAGAGCTCTCAAGTCTGCGCTTCCATCCTCCCCACAGCTCAACCAGCCACGTTTCATAGATGACAAGTGGGGATTAAAGACACAAATATTGATTTAAGCCAATGCAGATGTGAAGGAAGCACGCAACAACCCACACTGGCTCAGGCTTGTAACAAAACCTCCAGGGATTTCATTCAGGAAGGTGCTGAGCAGCAGCAACTGCCCCTCTTTTAAGGTCTCCAGATGCTTGGAGCTCCTCAGAAAGCAGCACGTTGCAGGTACACACCCCTTGAACCCACAGCCAAAGAGAACAGCAAGAAGACAGTGGCACTGGCAAAGGAAACAGCTCCAATAACCTTGGAGGGGCAGACAACAAATCATTTTTAGCTGATGGAAATAATAGCAAACAGGATTAAGGTGCTTATTTTCTGTTGTGATCTAGTGTGGTGATCCAAGACTAAGTGTGGATTATGTGGTTGTCACGTGGGGAAAAATATTGCCTTTTCCCAAAGGAATATTTGTATTGAGAGGGAGGTCTGGATGAGAACATTCATTATTCACAAGTCAAAAATATCAACACATGGCTGAGGTGCTGCAGTTTGTTGGCTCCACAATTCCACAAACATACTTTTAAACACCTTTCCAATGAAATCCTTCCTTTCAAAACTAGCAGGGAATTTCAGCTCCTGATAATTGAACTACAGGACCAGTATTCCTGGTTACACACAGAAGTTGCCTTCACCTCATTTATACACCTGGATAAAGAGGGGGAAAAAAACCCCACCAAAATAAGAAAGGGACAAGACTTGGAGGGCTGCAGGATGGCACTGACCTGCATTTAAGGGACAAGAAATGGAAGAACCTCTGGGTTGCGACTATTTTCTGCCCGGGCCCATTTTTCAGTAGATTCCAAAGTCTCTCCTAGCTATTTAAAAACTGAACCACCTCCAAGATCTGAAAGCAGTGTGGGTGGTTTGAAAGCAGGGCTGGAGGGGAAAACACAGAGTAATTCCCCACGTGAACACAATGATACAGAAATAAATAAATAGCTTGTTATTTTTATGACCCCCATGTTTACTTGGTTATTGCAGGTAGGTGTGCAACCCAACCTGGCTGTCCATCAAATGGCTGCAAACACACAGCTACATCAGGCTATTACACCCCTAATCATGCAAATCAGCACGTTATTAGGGAAATTACTGTGCCCAGTGGCCACTTTTTTTATCCAGAAAGGACATAATTATCCTATTTAGCTGGAAGGAGATGACCTGCAACATCTTTCTGCCCAGGTCTGTACCAAGCTGTGCTTCCAGCTTTCTCTGTTGCTGAAAAAACCCAGCTGAGAAGGGGAGACCCTGCCTGTGGGGAAAGCAGGAAGGGATGTCCGTTGCAGCCAGGAGAGCACAATAAAAGATCAGAAAAGGCATCCCTCTTCCACCTGCTCACTATCTGCCTGCAGCATCAAGACATGCAAGGTTAGAAGAGCTCTGACTCCAGCTGATCTCCTCCAGACGACCGGGCACCGAGCGTGCTGCTGAGCACAAGGGCAGCAAAGGGACAGGAAAGGGACAGCACCACAGTCCTGTACCAAGTCACAGCCTGTTCCCAATCCCATGAGCAGGACCTGTCATGGCCAAGAGTTAATAGCACTCAATATTTACCCAAGGGTTTATTCCTTTTGGCAACAGGAAAAGTCATTCCCTGTGTATCCTCAGCTTGGGAGGTGAACGGAGAATAAAAACAAGTAGGTGTTTACTCATGCACCCTAATCATGAATGTTTCACACAAATAGAAACATTTCTAAAAGCAATTGGTCTTTCTCTGGATGATGGGAATCTCAGACAAAGTACAGTTCATCAATATTCTGACTATGAGGAGAAACGAGGGCATGGAGATGTTCCAAGGGCTGGAGCAGCTCTGGAGCCAGGCTGGGAGAGTTGGGGTGTTCAGCCTGGAGAAGAGAAGGCTCCAGGGAGACCTGAGAGCACCTTCCAGTGCCTGAAGGGGCTCCAGGAAAGCTGGGGAGGGGCTTGGGACAAGGGCAGGGAGGGGTGGGAGGAGGGGGAATCATTTTAAACTGGAAGAGAGGAGATAGAGATTGGGTATCACGAAGAAATTCTTCACTCTTGAGGGTGGTGAGAGCCTGGCCCAGGTTGCCCAGGGAAGCTGTGGCTGCCCCATCCCTGGCAGTGTTGAAGGGCAGGTTGGATGGGGCTTGGAGCAACCTGGGCTGGTGGGAGGTGTCCCTGCCCATGCAGGGGGTGGGATTAGATGATCATTAGGGTTCCTTCCAACCCAAACCATTCCGTGAATCTATGATTTTTCCAGTGAATCCAAACATTTCTCACCAAAGCACCCTGCTGCACATCACCCAGGGCAGGATGCAGCCAAACCACCATGGGCTAGAGGGTTATGAGGAAGACTGTCAGGTAACACCAAAAAAGCCACAGTGAAGCACTGAGGCCTGGCCTGTTCTCAACCAGCATGGATCAGACCCTCTCTTCAGGCAGCAGAGCCAAACCTGCCAGTGAAGATGGTCTCATTCTGCTTCTCCTGAACTGCTCGAGGACAGACCTGGGTCAGACCCAGGGCAGGGACACCTGCTTGTGCTCCTGTGAGCCAAAAGGCAACCTGAGAGTCAGAACTGACTACAATCATTAGGCTACAGCCATAACACTTCTGAGCTGTGACCAGAACCCAGTCACTCCTTTTCCAAAGACAATCTCTGCACTGGAGATTAGAGAGAAGACACCTTAATTGTCCTGCATGTACAGGGATAAATCACCTCTACAGGGATAAATCACTTCCCCTCCTGCAAGAATGTCCTCACTTCTGAACCTTAGGCTGCTCCCTCTCTCCTGGGAGTCCCTCTGCTGTGAGCTCTGCAAACTGCCCAAGGCTGCATGATCCAGCTGGAAAACAACATTCTCCAAAACAAATCCTCAGCAAAACACACTGACTCTGAGTCCAGAGCAGAACTCAGCCAAGGATCAAGGGACACCCAGTGACCACTGACTTTTCCCTCTGTCTAGTGAAGCCCAACACCCAAGATCAAACCCAAGCTAAAAGGAGAAGCCAGGAAAAGCCCTTTAACCCTGCACTCCCACTTACATGCTAAGCTGTAGCACTCAAAATCAAGCAGTTATCATGATGACAAGTGTTCTCAGAAAGCTGTAGAGCTGCCAGTCCCATGGCTGGTTTGCCTCTGGCTACACTGGTAAAAGCAGGGAGGAGATGCAAAAAAGCACAGGCTCAGGGAATTCACCTGCTCCAGGAGTGAGCCACACTTGAGCAGGCACTACAAGCTCATCAGCTGAGAGCTTGCTAAAGAGTCCTGGAAAGAGAGAGCAAAAATCTGCCCAATGTCTGAAGGCAGCCAGGAGCCAGCAGCGTGGAGAAGGCAATATTGCTGGTGTAGCCCCCTCACTTCCCAAGTTTTAACAACTTTCCTGCCTTCCTCTTTCCTTGGGGATGCAGGTTGAAGGCACCTTGTTTCCCAGGAGCAATGTTAAGTCACTGCCAAGATCAGCAGGTCTTGGAGAACCCCCTGTGCCTACCTTGGCTTGGACGGCATAGGAGGCCAGCAGGACAGAAGCTTCAGGAGGACAGTAGATCTTCTCATCCAAAATCTGCTTCTTCACCTGCATGTAAAGGACACATAAATATAACACACACTTAGCAGAGCAGGACAAGGCACGACTGTCACAGCAGATGGTGGCAGTTTGTTTTAACTCGAGCTGTCAACCACACAGGTAACAATTTTCCTAACACAACTTCCAATTCAGGCCCAGGAAGTCTCTGGGAGCTTGGAAGGAGAAGGGCTGTTTCACAGGCCACCTTCTTCAGACAGGTTTGTGAGAAGAGCTAAATTTATCCATGGAAAATGACAGAGCCTGTGTGCCATTGCTGAAGGCAAGGGGGGAGGGAAGAATCTTTCATGTCAACACAGAGACAAAACCTCTTAGGGCACAAGCTATGGATTGAGGTGACATCTGCACACACCACTAAATTAAAGAAGAACTTTGCAACCCAGGCTCTGAGCACACCAAGGTTTTGCTCTGGGATATCCAGACCTCAGGACAAGGCAGTGCTCACCTGTGCTGGAGGCTAATTCCCTCCCATCCCACAGGACTCCTCTCCCTGTCTCTGCTTTTAGCAGCAGGCAAAGCCCTGCACATGCTTCTCCCAGGAGAGCCAACCTGCAGTTCCCAAAAGCCAAAGCTTTATGTTTCCTGGCTTCTGTGCATTAAAAAATTCAATGTTTGAGATGTTTTGGTTTTGCACACTTCATTTTTCTGAATAAAGACAGGAAAAAAACCCATACTATTTCCTGGGAGACTTAAATGGATTGTCACAGAGATGCAGTAACATCAGCTTAAATTTATAACATGCTTTGAGTCCTCAAAGTTGGTTACAACATAATCACAGGAGATGTTCTCCTGCATGCAGATAAAAACAGGGGGCTTTGAAGTTTTGTGCTCCCATTTCCCACGAGTGTTCCAGAAGCCCAGACTCCTCTCATCAGCAGAAATCCTGGTAGAAAAGGCATCATCTGCATTTCTAAAATGCAGCTTTAACTGCTTTTCCTCTCCAATTTTCTTTCTCAAAGATGCCAACAGCATTTTTCCTCATCCAGGATAAAGCCCATGGCAAATCAGACACCCAAAATAGCCCTAGAGAGACACGAGTGCAGGAGACCTCTGAAATGAACAGCAATACTTGGCATTTGAAAGTCCCTTAGCTCTGTAGAACACAGATGAATTTTGGAAGAGTGAGGTGTACCATGGAACTGGTGAGCTCCCTTGTTAGCCAGCTGAAAAGGCTGGGCACACTGAAGCCTACAGTGGTATTTCCAAGAGCAACCCAATCCAGGATGCCTCTGCTTTGGAGTAACCAACATAAGAATGAGCTGCTTTTGGTGGTTTTCTAACTTATTTATTTGAGAACTTTCAAAGCCACAGAGCAGCTGCAACATCCCAGTAAGTACCCCAGGGTCTGGCTAGGAACACTCTCCTCCCTGTAACTGTGTAGGAGACACAACCCTTCACAGAACATAGCTTCAGAAAATGGATCTTGTCTGAGAGAGATCTCCTGTGATAGAAGCTCTCTGTGACCAACCAGGCAGCACCATCAGCTGAGCTGGTTTCTCAGGACACCAGGTTTTGCAGCACACTGGAAAGAAAAAAGCCTGGAGTAGCTTTCCAAATGTTCACCACTGTTTCCAAATGCTTAACAGAAGGGCACGAGCTGCAGGGGGACCACAAGGTTCCCCCTTCTTGCCATCAGCCTCTGACAGGCCTGGGCTTCTGGGATTTTCTTCTGCTCCAGTTATGTGAAGGCTGTTTTGCAGAGGTGAACCTTGGTCTACAGCCTGGACACAGACCAGGTTGGCTGCATCCTGTTCCTGAGGAGGAAATCCCTCTGCTTCCCCTAACAATGCCATCATGTCCAAAGCCACCCTTCAGCACAGCTGATCTCCACACTGAGGGGTGGGCTGGGAGGCTGCAGGTGCCAGTCAAGCCCATTCCTGACAGCTTCATGTCCCCAGCTGCCACACAATCATGTTACAAATCACCTTAATCAGTCCTGATAGCAGGTTTGTGAAGGCTGCAAGTCTGGGAATCTCTGATTACTTCATCCAGACAAACCATCTTTGACCTATTTGGAGAAGTTTCTGTTGTGGAAGAGAAATTTTGGAGAGATGGGAACACAACGATGAGGATCCACGCTCTGCTGAGCAATTTTCTGACCCTGGAACCTCCTCACACTTCTGTTCATCCTGACTCCTTCTCCCTTGGGTTGGAAAACAGTGTACTGACAAGGTTCCTACCTGCAGGAAAAACAAGTGCTGAGTGATTTCCTGGACTAGTTCTTCCTCTGCATTCTCAGGATAAAATTTGGCCAGGAAGTGGAAGGTGACAGGCTCCTCTGTTGGAACATCATGATCCAGAACCTGCAGGATACAAGAGCCATTCAGCTACTCCTCCCAGTTTCTTCAGCCCTTCCTTGGAGCCAGGACACAGCTCCCTTCCCTTCAGATCAGCACATCTTTTGTCAAGCACTTTAGACAGCTAGAACAGAGGAACCAACTGAAGTAGTTCAGAAATCACAGGTTAAGAAAGAAAACAACCAAACATTTCTGACATTCCTAAACAGGCAAGAAAACAAACAAGGCAGAAACAAACAGCATGTGAGATGAGACAGAGACTGGTCCTCATCTGCTGTGTGCATGTTGCCTCTACCAACTTGGCAGAGTGACACTGAATCCTGCTCTGCTGCCTCCTGACTCTCCTTGTTTCCCTGCATGACCTTCTCCTGTACCTCAGTGCTGGTCCTTCCTTCCTTTCTGCTGTGCTGGCACCAGCCAGTTTAGATCCATAGCAGTTTAAACCTTGGCATGACATGGGAGACACCCAATCCTCCCTCCCAGCCTGGACTACTGTCTGGTTCTAGAGCAATACCCTCTGGCTGCAAACAGAACCTCCCCCACCACTGCTCCAAGCTCCTCAGGGAGCTGACAGCTCCACCTCCTCCCACCTCTCCAGTTCCCCTGGTTTTCCTCCTCCCCAGCTCTTTGTACATCTCAACAAGAAAAGAAGCCAAGATGCAACTGCATTTTCCATGGAATCCCAGACTGCTTTGGGTGGGAAGGGACCTTAAAGATCATCCAGTTCCAACCCTCTGCATGGGCAGGGACACCTCCCACCAGCCCAGGCTGCTCCAAGCCCCATCCAACCTGCCCTTCAACACTGCCAGCGATGGGGCAGCCACAGCTTCCCTGGGCAACCTGGGCCAGGCTCTCACCACCCTCAGAGTGAAGAATTTCTTCGTGATACCCAATCTCCACCTCCTCTCTTCCAGTTTAAAATGATTCCCTCTCATCCCATCCCTCCCTGCCCTTGTCCCAAGCCCCTCCCCAGCTTTCCTGGAGCTCCTTCAGGCACTGGAAGTTGCTCTAAGGTCTCCCTGGAGCCTTCTCTTCTCCAGGCTGAACACCCCAACTCTCCCAGCCTGGCTCCAGAGCAGAGCTGCCCCAGATCATCTCCATGGCCTCCTCTGGACTCTCTCCAACAGCTCCATGTCTGTCTTGTACTGGGGACCCCAGAGCTGGATCCAGCCCTTCAGGGGGTTCTCAGCAGAGCAAAGGGGGACAATTCCCTCCCTTGACCTTTTTGGCTAAAGATTTTGCCATCCAGGGGCACAGAAGAGAGACTTTTAGGTTTAATTTACATGACAGCTCCACTGAATCCAGCACGGCCACCTCCAGAATGAGAGCTCAGAGACTCACTGTGCCCAGCTCAGAGGAGCTGGGGTGGACAATCTCTGTCAACTCTTCTCCATTTGACCTACAGATGCCACAGGGATGAGATTTAAATCCCCTTCACCCAGTTCACCCCCCCATCACACACAACACAATCTCAGGTCATCAAAGAAAGGAGGAAAAAAAAATAAATAAAGGACATTCTCCTTTCTCATCTCACACAACCCCCCAAGGGAAATTTGATTCCAACCTTCTTGTCCATTTTGAGCCAGGCCACTGTGTCCTTGATGGTGTATTGCAGCCCAAAGAACCAGGTTTCTCGGAGTCCCAGAGTCCTGCACACCAGATCAAACAGGTCCTTCCCTTTCCACTTCACCTGCAGGAAAAGCAAATAGGAAGCAGAGTTACAGAGATGGATTTCAGAACTTCATCTCAAACAAACCCATTCTATTCACCTCACAATCCCTTTGGGAGGGGGGAGAAGGCAGCTGGTACAGATAAGGAGGAAACTGAGATCTGATTGATTTATTTTTTCCATTCCTGCAAACAACACTGTAAATAACCCTCCCCCCCCCCATTTTTTCTACAGACATTCCACAGAGAACCTGCAGGGTCTGCTGAGGTTCCCTTTGAGCCACACACTGCTATAAGCAGCCTGTTTCCAGCAAGCAATAAAAATCACTCTTAACTGCCCCTTCTTAGCTCTACCAACAGCCCCAGGAAGCCCGGCTGAAACTTCAGAAGCAGCAATAGGGTTTCATAGACAAGGGTGCAATGTGCTCCCAAAAATCACAAGTGAAATGATCTATGTGTGAAGCACATTTGTCCAGAGGGCTGAGAAAAAGGGCTCAGAAAAAGAAAATTACTATCCCTGAAGTCAGCAGTTCTCTCCGAGCATGTTTAGATAGAGTCAAACTGCATCTTCTGCTGAAAATACTGGTAATAAAAGCAGCTCAGGAGGAGAGAAAATTGGTCCTACTCAAAGGCTGTGTCCTTTGAGCAATCTATGTTGTTGCTGAAGTTTGCTCATAAAACCAGAAGGCGTGGGGAGGCAGAAAGGTGAAGAGGGACATAAACCAGATGAATCTAATACGCCAAAGCCACTTTGGTCTTCCATCTGCATGGTGGAAACAATTGCTGGACCGAGACATATGGCCATTACTCCAAAGCCCTAGGGCAAAAGGATCTCAGCACATGCTCTTGTCACTACAACTCAATCTTGGTGCCACCTGGACAGCATCAATATTGATGCTCCGGCGCGGCGCTCCCGCTGTCACCCACTGCCGCCTCGTGGGCAAAGCTGCTGTGGACAAGCTGGTTGCCATTCCACTGGCTCTGATGAAAGGAGGATATCACTGCTTTCTCCCCCTCCCAGAGCACAGACACACACACACAGACAGTCCCAGAATAGAAGCAAGCAGACACTACCCTCTGAAAAACACCACCCCCGGCCGACTCGCCGCAGCCGCAATTCATCTCAAAGGTTCTCAACACCTCGAGGTCAAAAACACCAGGAGGAGCAAGTTTTGCAGTGTTGTAATTATAAAACCTTAATTTCACACATTTAGCCAGCCTCCAGTCCCCATGATGAGCTCCAGCTCGGCTCAGACTGCAGAAGATTTTCTCCTGACTATTATTTGAAGAGGGAGGGTAATGTGAGGGTTCAGACGAAAGAGACACATTTCAACAGCCATTCTGCACCACTTCTGCAGGCACATAAACCAGGCTGCCATCAAAGGGCTGGTTCTTAGCTAGAATTAAACTGCTCTGCATAAAGCATTATCTGCTTGTTTTGCTTTCTGCAGAGGCCACACGTCAGCCTCTTGCTCCAGAGGGTGATGGGTGCTGCTCACACCAGCCCTGCACTGACCCTTGCCCAGCACGGGCTCCTGTGTGCTGCCCACGGGGCATCTCCTGCCCAGACATCACATCCCCTGGGATCAGAGAATCACAGGATCACAGAGTGGTTGGGGTTGGAAGGGACCTCTGGACATCATCTAGTCCAGCCCCCTGCTAGAGCAGGATCCCCTTCAGCAGATCCCACAGGAACACTTCCAGACAGGTTTGGAAGGTCTCCAGAGAAGGAGACTCCACAGCCTCCCTGGGCAGCCTGTCCCAGGCTCTGTCACCCTCACAGGAAATAAGTATTTTCTTACATTTAGGTTAAACCTCTTGTGCACCAGTTTTTGCCCATTGCCCCTTGTCTCGTCACTGGACACCCTTGAGAAGAGTCTGGCCCATCCTCCTGACACCCCCTGTAGATAATGATCAGCACTGCTGTCTCTTCCTCCAGCTGAGCAGCCCCAGCTCTCCCAGCCTTTCCTCACAGGCAGCTGCTCCATCCCCTCACCTTCACAGCCCTTTGTTGTCTCCTCTCCAGTAGCTCCTTGTCCTTCATGAACTGAGAAGCCATGAACTAGAGACTCAGTTCTCCAGATGTGTCTTCACCAGGGCAGAGCAGAGGCAGGAGAACCTCCCTGACCTTCTGGCCACACTCTTCTCAATGCCCCCCAGGAGGCCATTGGCCTTCTTGGCCACCAGGGCACATTGCTGGCTCACAGTGTTTTGAAGCTCCAGGACTGTAGCCCCTCTGATTCCGTCCCCCCTCAGCTGGGATTTCCACCAGCTCAACTCCCCCTAAACCTCCCCTGCAGAGTTTCACACTTCTATTACCACCAGACCTTTCCCACCTCACAGCACCAGCTGGACTGGCCCTAGAACCAAGCCAGCAGCTTGTTCCAAAGACCAGCAGCCAGCATTAAAGGAAGAGCTTTGTGTGTTTTCCTCCCTCTGCAATTTTAATTTGGTGATGAGGGGATTTTAAGGGATTGCTTCTGCTGCTCTGTCACCACACACACACAGCAGGAGTAGATCTTTAACATTCCTGCCTGCACGGTGCTGGAGCCTCCAACCATAGGCTTGGAAAGCCATCCTGTGTTGAATTACCCTCATAAATATCTAAATGCAACAGCAGCCACATTTATTTCAACATCCACGATTTCCTTTCACACCTTGGTACTTAAAATAATGATCTGCATTCGAGTGGCATCTTTTGCCAGCTGAACTCCAACTGGTTTAGACACTCAGCACCTCCTCACCCTGACTTGATAGGCCTCGTGTCATTAACTGCCACATTTCCTGGCCATAAAACACAAAATGAGACCCCTCAGGCATGGGGAGATGAAGAGAGGGGGTGTCCAAGACTGGGCATAGAGGCTGGAGCAAAGCCAGGCTGGGCTGGCAGCTCCTTCTCTGTCCTCTGCCCAGAATCCTGTTCCCCTGCTCCGCACCAAATTGATTCCTGAAGCACAATATGACTTGGCAAGCCATTCCCAGCTCCCAAAAACACAACCACGAGCCTTAGGGGAGAAAACCCCCTCTGAGCCACATGCCAGAGTGGCTGGCATCATGTTGTCACACAGCTCAATCTCCCCACAAAAAGCTGCATCCCAAGAATGTTAATCCAACAGAGCCACCTCCTGGGGACTGAGCAGGATGTGACCCTGGGGCTTCCTGGATCAGCTGCAGGCATCACCACCCCCAGGAGCAGCTCTGCACCCTCCCAACAGTGTGATCTCAACAAGGGTTGTTAGATTCAGCAAGTGGTGGATGAGCTGCTTTATAAAGGGACTGCAAGGCTGTTATTTCACAGAGCTGGAATTTATGCTCTTCACTAAGTACAGAGATTAAAATTTATCGGCAGCATTTTAAGTAAACAGCACAAAACACTTCAAACCCAGCAGCCAGTGGCTAGAACAGAGCATCTCCAGTGCAGGTTATTGGCATAATCTTTTTCTCCAGCAGAGACAAAGCATTTGGCATCTATTACCAGGGTCTGCATTATTTATTAACCTGCACCAAGAGTCATTTCCAGCTCGCAGGCAACCGGACAGTTTATTTCAGCACAGAAACCTCCTGTCAAGCTTCACACCCACTCATTAGCTAACGAGTTGATAAACCAGCTGCAAAACTGAGCAGGAAGGTTATAAGTCACCCTATGGCAAGGGGAATCAAGGAGGGAGGCCAAGTGTGACCAAAAAAACGGGCATGAGAGGGCAAGATTGTCCAGCGTGGAGGAGGTTGTGTCAGGTCTGCAGAGAAAAGTGATTCCCAAAACCCACTGGCACAGGCTGATGCTTTTCCTCAAACCATGTCCAACTGGATTTATGCCAGGAAAAGAGAGAAGTAAAAGGACATTTTTTAACCATTTAAGATGAAGTTTCCACACCAGAAGCTCTCCTTGGAGGAGAGCAGAAGGAGGCAGAACTCAGGGACAGCAGACAAGGGACAGGACAAGAGGAAATGGGCTCAACTTGCACCAGGGGAGGTTTAGATTAGATATTAGAAAAAATTTCTCCACCAAAAGGGTAATGAAACACCTGAACAGGCTGCCCAGGGAGGTGGTTGTATCTCCATCCCTAGAGGTGTGTAAGAGACATGTAGATGCGGTGCTGAGGGACATGGTTTAAGCACTGGGCTTGGTAGAGCTGGGTTACTGGCTGGTAGAACTAGGTTAAGGTTGGACTCAATTACCTTAAAGGTATTTTCCAGCCAGAACAATTCTGTGATCTCACCAACACAAACCACCAGAGCTTTGGCCACCCCCGGGGTCAGGCTGGGGAATAAGGGCACAAAGAAGTGACAGGAGGAGCCAGCACTCACCAGATCTGCCTGGACTGCTTCCCTGAGCAAACCTCTCCCCAGGCTCCCTCCTCACCCTGCAGCCACTTGACAAGAGGCACGGTGCTGGGTTAGAGTGTGACCTTGGAGAAATGACTAACACGTATAAAATATTTTCCTGCACCTATTTATCCTTAAATAAAGCAGAAAAAATGGCTTTTCAGCTTCATAAATCGTTTCATTAGGTGGTAGTCCTGGGGTAGAGGTGAGAAGAGAGCACAAAGCTCCTTCTTGTGATGCTGTAACAGCTGAAAAAGGGACTTGAAGATTTAGATTTGACATGAGGAGGAAATTCTTTCTTGTGAGGGGGGTGAGAAACTGGAACAGGTTGCCCAGAGAAGCTGTGGCTGCCCCATCCCTGGCGGTGGAGCAAGTCCAGAGGAGGCCACAGTGATGATGGGAGGGCTGGAGCAGCTCTGCTCTGGAGACAGGCTGGGAGAGTTGGGGTGTTCAGCCTGGAGAAGAGAAGGCTCCAGGGAGACCTTAGAGCAGCTTCCAGTGCCTGAAGGGGCTCCAGGAAAGCTGGGGAGGGGCTTGGGACAAGGGCAGGGAGGGGTGGGATGAGGGGGAATGGATTAAAACTGGAAGAGGGGAGATTTAGGTGAGACATGAGGAAGAAATTCTTTGCTGTGAGGGTGGTGAGACCCTGGCCCAGGTTGCCCAGGGAAGCTGTGGCTGCCCCATCCCTGGCAGTGTTGAAGGGCAGGTTGGATGGGGCTTGGAGCAGCCTGGGCTGGTGGGAGGTGTCCCTGCCCATGGTTGGGAGTTGGGACTGGATGATCTGTGACGTCCCTTCCAACCCGAACCAGTCTAGGATTCTGGGATTCTAAAAGACCAGGCAGGAAAGGGACTGAGCCCCAGAGGCAGCCCTCAGCCCCCACCCTGGGATGTTATTCCCATTTAGAAGAAGGCTCTAACAAGAGGACATGACATCTCTGCACTGAAAGAGGGAAGGAGAGGGCAGAAGGGCAAAGGCAGGGGCTGAGTAGAGCATCCCCTCACTATCCACCTGGGAAACAGCAAGTGGATGGGCTGGATCTTTGTCCCACCAGGAGATGCCCAAAGAAAGCACCCACCACAGTTTATAATTGAACCAGAGGTAATTTTGAGACTGCAGACCACATTCATTTGTCCTTCTGGACTTGGATGACAACAGGAGTTCACAGACAACCATTGATTTGGATTTAAAGCCCATTTGGCACAAAAGGAGAATGAAACACACAATATTCCTCCATTAAAAAAATCAAACAACTGATGTCAAACCCTCTCAACTGCCACTTGCTGAGCTGCAAGACAGGGCTGTAAAAGTTGTTTTTATTTACTAATGCTACACGACAACTTGATAATGAGCTTTTAATTAAAATCTATTCCTTTTAACCACCAAGGAGGCCCAAAAGGGGCCCAGGTGTGACCAGGCAGATGGCGCAGCCCCACACATTTGTTGGTGTCTGCCCAAGCCAGGGACAGAGAGGGAACAAGCTGCTGTGGCTCTGAAGTGAGCAGGAGAGGCTGAGGGGACAATGATGTCCCAAAGTCTCACCTCTCGAGCTGGGGTTGGGCAATTTAAGGGCTAAAAGGTCAGGCAGCAGCTCAACACTGAGCATCTATGTGGGAGCTGCTGGCTCTGTCCACAGGGTGCTCCACAAGCCCCACCTGCTGGGAAGGTCTTTCTCCTGATTTCTCCAGGGAAGTGCAAGCTGGGCTTTAAAAAGTCATGGCTGTCAGGCTCAGGAGAGGGACAGTCTTGTTGTTGTAAGGCTAAACCATGTGTGCTATCAAAATCCTCTCTTCCAGTCTTAAAGGCTGCTTGATTTTCTACTCAAGTGCTGCCTCCCAGCTTTCAGTAGATTGATTCCAGGGCTGCTTCCCTGTTCCAGCACTTTTCATTTTAAAAAACACCCACTTGAAAGCCACTGTGTGTACAAATTAAAAAAAAAAAAGTATTAAATGGCATCAAAACTCGAGTAAATCCAGCAAAAGAGAAGGTTTTTCTGTCCTAAACATCTTCCCAGGGAACCTGTGGCTGCCCCATCCCTGGCAGTGTTGAAGGGCAGGTTGGATGGGGCTTGGAGCAGCCTGGGCTAGTGGGAGGTGTCCCTGCCCATGCAGGGGGGTTAGATCTAGATGATCTTTATGGTCCCTTCCAACCCAAACCAGTCTGTGGGGCTATGATTCCCTCCTTCCCCTTTGCAACACCACCCCTCCTTTGGCTTAACCACAGAGATCAAGGACCTGCAGTGGTTTGGAATGATCTTTGGAGGGAGCTGGATAACGTGGAGTTTCACAACCAGCTTAGAAGGGACACAAGGGATCCAGGGAGTGTCTCAGGTGCAGGCAGGGAGAAGCCAAAGAGGAGCTGTGCCCATAACAAGCCTCGTGTGACTCACATACAGCTCAGGGGAACACAGCACTAAGCTGCACCAAGACAGCTCAGAGAAACTACCTCCCAAATGACACTCGTGAATCAGCAGAATTCTGACTTCTGGGGTTTTTTTGGCATAAACCCCTCCAAAACACAAAGTGAGAGGACAGTTTTGGATTTAAACAGAGCTCAGGAGCAACCAAAGAGCCTCCTGCTCACTCACAGAGGGAGCAGAACGTGGAGCTGACAGCTGGAGTCCCACAAATTTCCTGAGCATCACTTCCTAGCTGAGGGGGGATTATTTCTTCCAGCTTTTCCAAACAGCTACTACTCCCCACAGGTTCATCTCTTCCAGCTGAATTTCTGCCTGC